ATAGGTTCTGCAAATGGAACGGTGGATACTTCATTCGGTTCTTTTGTCTATCTAGTTATTTTTGATTCAATCGTTCATCTAGATCGTAACGTTCATTGGCCGATTTATCTGATTGAACTAAAGTATCTATGAAACTGGCTCATTTTCATTATTACTACTTATCTTCGTATTATAAAGGTAGTAAAAATATTCTGAAAAAAAAATATTGGTCCTTCGAGTTCAAATATAACCTCAATATAAAATAAAACTCTTTTCCTAATTTTCGTATTTTTTCTTTTCTCTTTGTAGGAAACCTAAACTGTTCCTGATTATATACACAAATACAAAATTTACGGAATATGCTGTGACCACCGCAAGTGCCAAAAGTGAATCCAGAAATTTGCCTTAATCACCATTACACAAAATATCCCTCCAAATTTCCCCACCCCCCATTAAACCCCTACTTAATAAAGACAGATAGAGAATAGAGATCGCCTGCCTTCCAAAATGAATAACTTCGACGGCTGGGATTATGCGGTACTGATCATCATTCTGATAATATCCGCTGCAATCGGCATCTACTATCGCTTCTCGGGTGGTAAACAAAAAACTACCAAAGAATATTTAATGGCCGATCAAAGTATGTCCGCCCTGCCGGTATCCTTTAGTTTAATGGCCAGTTTTATGTCAGCCGTTACTCTGCTGGGTGTATCCAAAGAAAGCTATGAATACGGTATGATATTTTGTGTTATAAATATTTCGTATATCATCAGCACACCGATTGCTGCGTATTTGTTCCTACCCGTATTCTATAAAATGCGTACCACGAGTGTTTATGAATATTTGGAAAGGCGGTTTGGTCATACAATGCGTATGGCTGCATCGCTGGCTTTTTCCCTACAAATGATTCTCTATATGGGTATAGTGCTCTATGCTCCCGCCCTAGCCTTGGAAGCGGTAACGGGTATTAATAAAGTCACGGCCATTCTGACAATTGGCATTGTGTGTACCTTCTATTCGACGGTGGGTGGTATGAAAGCTGTCCTCATCACCGATGTATTTCAATCGTTGCTTATGTTTGCCGGTATCTATTCGGTGATAATCGTATCGGCCATTAAGGCTGGAGGTTTGAAAGATATTTGGAATGTTGCCGTGGATAGTGGCCGTATAAATATGGATGAATTTTCTTTGGATCCCACTGTGCGTCATACATGGTGGACCTTAATTATTGGTGGAATGGTTACTTATCTCTCACTGTACGGTGTCAATCAGACACAGGTGCAGCGATTACTTAGCGTCAAGAATCTGAAAGGAGCCCAGGCGGCTCTTTGGTGGAATTTGCCAATTTTGAGTTGTTTAAGTTTTAGTACCTTGTTCAGTGGTTTGGCGATATTCTATTATTATCGGAATTGTGATCCGGTTCTAAGTGGTCGCATTAAGTCCAGGGATCAGCTGATGCCGCTCTTTGCTGTGGATACAATGGGTGAGTAAACGGAAGAGGAAGAAAATCACAATTGTTATTTATTATCCTGGATCATAGATCAAGGATCAATGATTTTTAGAACAAGAATCAATGATCTTTCATCAAGAACCAATGATCTTTGATCATAGATCAATTCATTGATCAATGTTTATTAATTGATCACAGATCAACTATCTTTGATCAAATATCAATGATATAGGTCAATGATCTTTGATTATAGGTCAATGATCATTGATCATAGGTCAATGATCTTTGATCATAGGTCAATAATCTTTGACCATAGGTCAATGATCTTTGATCATAGGTCAATGATATTTTATCATAGGTCAATGATCTTTGGTCATAGGTCAATGATCCCTGATCATAGTCAATGATCATTGATCATAATCAATGATCCTTGATCATTGTCAATGACTTTTGATCATAGATCAATGATCTTTGATCATAGATCTATGATCTTTGATCATATATCAATGATCTTTGATCATAGCCAATGATCATAGGACAATGATCTGTGATCATAGGTCAATGGTCTGTGATCATAGGTCAATAGTCTGTGATCACAGATCAATGATTGATCATAGATCAATGATAATTGATCTATGATCAATCAATGATAATTGATCTATGATCAATCATTGATCTATGATTAATCATTGATCTTTGATCACAGACCATTGACCTATGATCACAGACCATTGACCTATGATCACAGATCATTGTCCTATGATCACAGATCATTGGCTATGATCAAAGATCTTTGGTTATGATCAAAGATCATTGGCTATGATCCAATATCATAGATCTATGATCAAAGATCATGATCAAAGATCATTGATATATGATCAAAGATCATTGATATATGATCAAAGATCATAGCAAATGATCTTTGATCATAACCAATGATCTGTGATCATAGGACAATGATCTGTGATCATAGGTCAATGGTCTGTGATCATAGGTCAATGGTCTATGATCACAGATCAATGATTGGTCATAGATCAATGATTGATCATAGATCAATGATTGATCATATATCATTGATTGATCATAGATCAATTATTGATCATAGATCAATGATTGATCACAGAATGATGATTGATCATAGATCAATGATTTTTCATATATCAATGATTGATCATAGATCACTGATTGATCATAGATCAATGATTGATCATAGATCTATGATTGATCATAGATCTATGATTGATCATAGATCTATGATTGATCATAGACCATTGATTGATCATAGAACAATGATTGATCACAAATCAATGATTGATCGCAGATCAATAATTGATCGCAGATCAATGATTGATCATAGATAATAGATATATATATATAGATTGATTATAGATCAATAATTGATCATAGATCAATAATTTATCATAGATCAATAGATCAATGATTGATCATAGAACAATAATTGATCATAGATAAATGACTTATCATAAATCAATAATTGATCAAAGATCAATGCTTGATCAAAGATCAATGATTGATATAAGATTAAGGATTTATCACAGACCAATGATTAATCGCGGATTACAAATTGCCCTGCTACCCCCCAAGAAAATTTTCTCCTCTAACCTCTTTCCAATTTATTATTTCTTTTTTCCCTTCTAGGTGAATATCCCGGCCTCTGCGGTCTTTTTGTCTCCGGTATTTTCTCTGCCAGTCTTTCCACCGTGTCCTCATCGGTCAGTTCCCTTTCCGCTGTTACCCTAGAAGATTATATTAAACCTGCCTATAAGAAAATCTTTAAGAGAACCATGACAGATACAAGTACAACATTGCCTAGTAAAATTATGGCTTGCATTTATGGAATTGTTTGTATCGCTTTGGCATTTACCGCCGGATCGATGGGAGGTGTATTACAGGCTTCGCTGACAATTTTCGGTGTTGTTGGAGGTCCTTTGCTGGCAGTATTCACCCTCGGTGTTGGCACAACACGGGCTAATCAACGTGGTGTACTCATTGGCCTGCTAACCGGATTGGTATTTTCATTTTGTATTGGTTTTGGTGGACCAAAACCACCACCAGTAACACTGCCTGTTAGTGATGAAGGTTGCCTGCAGGCCAATGTTACTTTGGTGGCGGAATCATTAAGTCTGGTGGAAGAGATGTTTAATGGAACTACCACCACAACAACAACAACGCCAGCTAATATTCCGGCTCCAACAGATTATTTCTGGCTTTATCGTATATCCTATTTATATTTATGTGTTTTTGCTTTCATACTCACCCTTGTGGTGGGTTATGGGGCCAGTCGTATATTGGAATATTTCAAATTGGCCGATAACTCACAAATTTATTTGGATTCTTTAAGACGTCAAATCGATTATGATCTGTTTGCACCGCCATTGTCGCGTAAGCTGCGTGAACGGGACACAAATGATGAGTTGAGTAAATTAAATTATTGTGATACCACGACAATGGTCCTAGGATAATTAGAAAATATGCAGGTACATAGCTAGTTTATTTTTTAAGGCAGGTTAGAGTTTTGTAATTAATTTTAATTTTTTTTCTATAAATTTTTGTAAAGAGATTTATTTTTTTTTTAATTTTTTGTAGTTGTATATAAAAACTTAGTTTACAAAAATATTAAATTAGATCTTATTTATAAATACACCCTGAAATACTTAAGCATAATTTTTAATTTGTATGATTGTAATTAATTAAGATACTTATTTGTCTTATATGTATATTTTTATAAAAAAAAACAAAATTGATTTTAATTCTTTTCTGTTTTGTATAGTATTTATTATTATCATCATTTGCAAATGAGCTTTAAAAGTTCCAATACTATTTTCATTAAACAAATCGAAATACAAAGATATTTAGTTTTTATAATTTTACTGCTGTTTTTATTTTATTTTCTCTTAAAAATAAGGATGGAATCAAGAAAATTTACTTTAGATCCTTTTTTTAAATCCTCAGGATTTTTTATAAACATTATATTTGGAATATTTTGTAACCTTATTCGGAATATTTTTTTATATCCCCATTAAATCGTTGCAACTGATTGTGAATAATTCTGGCGCCCAATGTGCAGACTTTTAATGTTTTTGTCTCTAATATTTTGGTAGCACTATTCCGAATTCTTTTCAAAATGTTTATAAAAAATGTACCCAATTTTTATGTTTTCTGATAATATCACCTACCTTTTGCTTCGATTGTAACAGTAATTTTCTTTAAAGTATTCAATTACCAATATAAACAATTTTAGCCATGATATGTTGTTGCTAGGAACGTACAATCTTTATTAGTCAGACCACATAGTAGTAGTAGCTCACGCCCTAAATGATAAAATTGTCTTTATCTTTATTGTGACGTAAATTGACTTTCGGGGGTATTTTTTTTAATTAAATAATATGATATAAAAAAAATTGTGATGTAATTAATCAAAGTCCATGCCGATGTTATTTGCATGGCTAAACGTGACAATCGCCGATGGAAAAAAAATACAAATCGTAATTCGTAGTCATATTGCGGAGTAAGGTGTAAAATAATTTTTTCGCTATGAAAAATGAAGAAAAAACCCCGTGAGCGGAGTATTATAGAGGGAAGGGAACATCCGCATCATACCCTACACAACTATCGTTGGGTTTCATCTCGATTTGGATTTTCGTGACAGTTGCCTCATATCGGTGCCACTTCTAGGTATAGCTCTCATATTGGGATACCATTTAACATCCGGCGTTATCTATCGAATTGACGGCAATTTTGAGGATATTGCAAATTTTTTAAACAAATTATCTGTAATTTGTTATATTTTAGTTCTCATTGCATTCTGCAGCCTGAAAGTAGTGGCTTGTCGTTTTAGAACTGAAACATGGACTAGATATTTGACCCTGTCACTAGAAATGACGTCTTTAAAATTTGTCTTATTGAAATTAAATAACAGAACCCACGAATCCTGAATTTCATTTTAAAGGAACCGCATCATTTTAGATATTTTGAGGACCTTAACCGCACTTTTCGACCATACTTAAGACTAGACCCTTTATATTGTAAGCCCTCAAATTACAATAAGATTTTTAACAAGGTAAGATTAAGCCATATCGAACTTTTTATACCCTCTCCCCTGTGGTTGTACATTCAAAAATTATATATATATATATGAGAAAATTCGTGCGGAGAAGAAGAATTTCAATAACCTGAAACCTGAAAATTGCCAGAATTGGCGGTTATAAGCCTCAAAATACCGAAAATTGGGTAAGACCTTCATAAGGGGGATATCTCAAACCAAGAACCTATTATAATTATGTTCTGCTGAAATGTATGCCAGTCCCCAAAATGCCAAAGTAAAGCCTTTTCGGTTAGAAAAATTAGCCTACAAGGCTCAAATTACGAAAATTGGACAGCACCTTTATATGGGACTATGTCAAAACAAGAGCCTAGAGGGATAATGTTCTACGCAGATATATGTTAGCTTCCAAAACCCCGACATGTCCAATTAGAGCCTTTTATGTAGGAAAATGCGGCTATATGCCCCAAATTACTGAAAATTAAGCGGGGCTCTCTTATGTGGGCTATGTCAAAACTAAGATTCGGATGATTATTTTTTGCATAGATGTACGACAGTTTCCAAAACCCCCCAAAAATGCTAAATTAGAGCCTTTCGGTTGGAAAATGCAGCCATAAGCCTTAAATGCCGAAAAAAATTGGGCGGGATATATAAAAGAACCCATAGGTATAATTTTCTACGCAGATATATGTCAGCTTCCCAAACACCAACTGCAAAATTAATGCCTTTTCAGTTGGAAAATGCGGCTACAAGCCTAACAACATCGAAAAATTGGGCAGAACCTTAATATGGAGGCTATGTCAAAACATGGACCTATAAAGATCTTTTTCTGCTAGATATATGTCCGCCCCCACAGCCTGAAATGTCAAATTAAAGTATTTTCAGATGGAAAATGCGGGCGGCTAAAACAATCAAAACACTCGAAAATTTTATGGGACCATAAAATGTAACCTATAGGGATAATTTTCTGCACAGATGTTTGACAGCCGCAAAAACTGGTTGGAAAATATTTCTAGAAGCCTCAAAATACGGTACGACCATATTCTCTGCGCATATGCATACCAGCTTCCAAAATCCCAATTTGCAAAATGTGTCTGATACATTCAAAATATCGAAAATTGGGCGGAACCGTTACATAGGAGTAACGCTAAAACGTGGACCAATATTTGTAATACCAAATAACATCCTAGTAGTGTCAGTGCAAAATTTCAAACCCTATCTTAAATATTGTGATCTCTATCGTGATTTCCACAGACAGACATTATTAAATCCGCATCGAATTTTATTTTGATCAAAAATACATATATAAATACATATATACTTTATGGTGCCTCCGTAGTACAATTTTTCTAGGTGTTGCAAACGGAATAACAAATTTCCCACCATAGGGTGGAGTGTATAAAAAATGCACACCATGTGTACGAGAAATGGCGCCCAATGATTATACCCGGTTCTCAGACATTTTTCATCTAATAAATAAGTGACTGCCGATACTGAGACCTAGTATGAAGCAAAATAAAAATCGTATTTAAAAAAATAAATATTGAAAAATTAGAGGGTCGCTCATGATGGCGACGGTGTAAAGTAATGGACTGGCACATATATACACGAATACACTTTTAATTCCACATTTACCATATATGGCGCCCAACGACAATTATCTGATCTCAGCGCTGAAAAAATTGTCACTTTATTGCTCGAATAAAGAAAAAGTTCTTCAAATATATGGTGACGGTTTAACCTAATCTATTCCACATTTACCAGATATGGCGCCCAAGGACAATTTTCTGATCTCAGATTTAAAAAAAATTCTCACAGTGAAAACTTGAAAAATTAGAGGTTCGCTATATGATAATGCTATAGATGGTAACGGCGTAACGTAATGGTTGGCCACATGAATACACGAATTACATTGAATTTACTCCACATTTACCATGTATGGCGCCAAACGAAAATTTTCTGACTTCAAAGCTGAAAAAATTTTTCACTTTATTTCTCGAATAAAGAAAAAGTTCTTCAAATATATGGTGATGGTGTAACCACATCTATTCCACATTTACCAGATATGGCGCCCAACGACAATTTTCTGATCTCAGATTTAAAATAAATGCTCACAGTATTTCTCGTATAAAGAGATAATCGTCGAAAGTGAGACCTTTTTTGTAGAAAGATCATCAAAATCAGTATTGAAAAAAAAATTGAGGGTAGTTACACTCTTTGGTATGCTAATGTTATAGATAGTGATCACTATATATATGGCGCCCAAAGTAAATTAAGTAATTTCCTTAGATCAAAAAAATGTTCAAGCTGATTTTTTTGAGTTTGTTTTTATGCCTGTTTAGGGCGAAGGATCATTCATGTATAAATGTTTGTTTTTATTAATTTAAGGTTAGGAAATCGTAATACCAAAATTGTATTGAAAGGGTTTCTAGAATATGTGCAGCATACTTAAATGAAATTATGTTGAATTGCTTCCAAATGTACCATATATGTCGCCCAACGTTAATTAATTAATTTTCTCACTGTGTCTTTCGAATAGAAAAAGGTAATCTCCGAAAGAAAATCAAATTTAAGGTTAGGTAAATCGTAATACCAAACTTGTATTGAAAGAGCCGAAGGGTCTCTAGAATATTTGCAGCACTCTTGCAGGGAATTATGTTGAATTAAATAAAAGAGAAAATTGCATTTGACTATTGTAAGTCGAGGAGTTTTCAATTGTGCCTTAGGGATGGTATTGGATTCATGAGGATTTATTTGATATTTATTTAATGGAATTGGAAATTTAAACCCAATGGATTAATGAAATCCGATACAATGTAAATGTATTATAAAATTGAATAAATTATACCAGAATGTTGAGGCATTTAACAAATTTTAGATTGATCAGTAAAAAATTGCCTCCAAGATTCAAGTTTTTCCTTGAGTCCGTTCTTAAAAATGTTCAAAATTATTCGATTTTATTTAGTTCCGATTTTCTTTTTTTTAATTTTTATTCTTTAGTTTATAAATTTTATTTTATTATTATTGATGTTTTTTATAATTTCAAAAATTGTTTTATTTTTTCATTTTGAAACAAACTCTCGAACATGGTGTAGAAATGAAATAAACATGAATGCCTTCTAATGGCCCATATTGACCAAATCTATTTAAAACACTCAAAATGTATCATCAGACGAATGCAATTTGATGATGTAGATGTCGTGTGTCCTTCAGTGCCATAATACAGTATATGTTGGGGGCAATAAGTAAATAAATAATGAAATACAAAAACAACAACAAAACAAATATTTTGTAACAATGTTGCAAAAATTGTCTTGCAAATAGAAAATTTTACGATTTAGCAAAATAATAAAATATGGGAAAATACACAAACACACACACGCATATTTAAATACACAAAATTTAGATCGAGATATTTTC